TTTTGTTTTGTTTTGTTTTTTTTGCAAAGTATACCAATGAAACTATGATCTTTTTTGTAGGCTACTAATTTGATCTTGCTTCCAAACTTTTGGCCTGTTGTATAATACCTTTAGGACCCTGGGGGAAGCATTACAATTTCCGTACACAGCAGCCTGCACTTCCCAACAGACGGCGTTATGCTGACTCTGATTGGCTGACAGTGCTGTCAATCTCATGTTGGGTGGGTATGGCCTCATTCTATTGGCTCGAACGAGATAGAGCCCCGCCTGTCCGTGTGGACAGGCAGCATTACGTTTAAAGGAATCAGAGCTTTGCAGCTGTGTATGGGACATTTTTCACCTTTTTTTTTTTTTTTTTTTCACCTTTTTTTTTTTTTTTTTTTGTGAAAATAGAGAGAGAAAGATGGCGATGCATGGTCTGAAGAAACGTTTTAACCCCGTGGAAGTATTGGCACTGCTGGAGAAGGACTGCGAGAGCTCGTTTTGTGTGAATGATTCTCCATCAGAGGACGAGGACCTCGTGCACCCGAACTACACACAAGACAGCGGTGACTCGGATTACTGTCTTCCATCGTCGGAAAGGTAACGTCTTATATATGTTGTGTGTAGATTTATCCATCTATCTAGAGCTAGCAGCTTTGTCAGGTGTGTGTGTGTGTGTGTGTGTGTGTGTGGGTGGGTGTGTGTGTGTGTGTTTGTTTATTTTTTTTTTTACCACGTTTCTTGCTTTCGTGTTTACATGTAATTGCAATTTCAGAGCGAGGCCACTGAGTTAATATATATTTGTTTTGCTTCCGCATTTGGGTTTACAGTGATGAGGATGATTATGACGATGAGGATTATGTGCCGACCCCTGCCAGTGACCCAAGACCTTTAACATCAACACTGCAATCAAAAGCTGGTGGACTGTTGGCTCCTTCACCTAGCCAAAGGCCTGGAAAAAGGAAGTTGTCACTTGCAGAGAGTGAGGAGGAGAGTGAGAAGGAGAGTGAGGAGGAGGAGGAGCAAAAGGACAAGAAGAAGAAGAGGAAGAAGAAGGAGGAGAACCAGAAGGAGAAGAAGAGGAAGAAGAAGGAGGAGGAGGTGGACGACAACAGGTGGCATGACAAAGAGGAGGAGGACATCAAACCTGACCCTCTCAGATTCATGCCGGCCAGGAGCCCTGGACCCATGATCAACACCACCACAGCATGGTCTCCCATCAGCCTCTTCCAGCTCTTCTTCTCCACTTCTGTTGTCAGAACAATAATTGAAAACACAAATGCCAATGCTGCCAAAAGAAATCAAGCTGGAGTGCGTTTCAAGTGGGAAGCGCTCACAGTGAAGGACTTTTACACGTTTTTAGCCACTATCATTTTCACCGGCCTCGTGTCAGTCCACAACAGGGCAGATTACTGGAGGAAGAAATGGCCGTACAACTTCCCCTTCCCCAGTAGAAAGATGTCACGGGACCGCTTTGAGGCGATTTTGTGGTCACTTCACCTGAGCGACCCAAAAGAAGACGAAGAAAATGAAAAGAAAAAGAACACCCCCGAGTATGACAGACTTTTCAAGATAAAGCCGCTGTACACAGATATGGTGGACGCCTGCAAAGCCCATTTCCAGCCATATCGGAATCTGTCCATTGATGAGCGGATGGTCGCCAGCAAAGCCCGCATCAGCATCAAGCACTGCATGAAGAACAAGCTCACAAAGTGGGGATACAAACTGTTTGTGCTGGCTGATGCATCTACTGGCTACACGTGTAATTTTTTCGTGTACACAGGCAAAAGACAGACCCCCACAGGCCGCAGTCTGAGTTACTCTGCCGTTATGGACCTTCTGTGTTTTCCTATCCTCGGTAGCGGCTACACGCTGTACACGGACAATTTTTACACAAGCACCACTCTATTTACTGATTTGTCCAAAAAGAACATTGGCTGTTGTGGAACCATTAGGACAAATAACACTGGCTTCCCAAAGACCCAGACCAACAACCTGCCCAAAAATGCTGAGAGGGGGGACATTCGTTGGATGAGGAGCGGCAAACTTCTCTTCGTGAAGTGGATGGACACAAGAGAGGTTAAAATGTGCTCCACGGTGCACCAGGCCTACAACGGACTGACAGTGTTGAGGAAAGCGAAGGAGGCTGGTGTGTGGAAAAACAAGTCCGTACCTGTTCCGGACTGCATCGTGGACTACAATCGCAACATGGGTGGTGTGGATTTGTCCGATGCACTGATCGGATCGTACAGCGTCCACCAGAAGACGAAGAAGTGGTACAAGACTTTTTTTTACCACTTTGTGGACATCGCTGCCGTCAACAGTTACCTCTTACACAAGGAGCTGTTCAAGGTCAGGCAGGACCCCACCCAGACAAAGCCCTTCACCCACAAGAAATTCAGGGAGGTGTTAGCCAAGCAGATGCTTGAGTTTGCTGATGGCTCAGAAGCCACCCCACCACCCACATCCCCCACCACTTGCATGCCCGTATTCTTCGACAACAGGGAAACAAGGGCCAGGAAGCACTGCAAGAGGTGTCTCAATGCTGGAACACCCAGGGTGAAGACAGCGGTGTATTGCAGGAAGTGTCTGGTTCCTCTCTGCCTCACCTCTAAGAAGAACTGCTTCCAGTTGTGGCATGATGGACAGTAACTTCCTGATGGTCATGTGTTAATACATGGCCAATAGTTTAGATGGTTCTTTTAGTTTCACCTGTGTTTTCACAGTTTGTATTGTTACAGAAATGTTTGATAAAGTAAATCTGCTCCATTTGGACTCAACACTCACACTCACTTTCTTTGTGTGGTCATTTTGGGAATGGGAAATATATAGAGGTCTGGTTGAATCTTCAAAAAAATGCCAAAAACGGTTGTATTTGGATGTATTGAGCACCATTAGTGATATACAAATGAAATATATAGCTTTGTACATGAGAAAAATCAAATGGCACACACGGTGTCTGTTCTAACACCTCTCTAATATTCTTCTCCTTCACCTTATCTGAATCAACCATTGCAGAGATAATGTTCACATATGTAATCATATTGTACTATGATTTGATAGGTTGAGAGCTGCAGCTGCGTCATTCTACAGGGATACTCATCCTGAAAATGCTTTCCTTTAGGCAAACCTGAAACTTTTTGTGCTGTGTGTCGTCTTCATTTAAAGGGGGTTTATGGTTGTGCGTAGACCCTACAAACAGCTTACGCCGCAGAGGTTCCTGTGAAGTGCTGTAAAGTTTAGTTGATTCAAAACTCACCCATAACACACATTAAATATGGCTTAAAAAAGAGACAAATTCAAACAAAAGTACACATTGGCTTCACTATAACTCACAGCATTCACAGACAAACACTAGTCTTTATTTGGACACATTTTCCCCACAACTACAACATGCTAACGTTTTTAGCACAAGCCTATGGTATTTTACATTGTAAAATTGTATAAATTAGCCTAACAGCTAGCGATCTTTTCCTCTTCTCATATAAAACCAGGGACAACAGCAGCATTTAACAAAGGTAACGGTATGCAGTATCTCACATAAGTAAGTACACCCCTCCCATTTCTGCAAATATTTCATTATATCTTTTCATGGGACAACACTATAGAAATGACACTTGATATAACTTAAAGTAGTCAGTGTACAGCTTGTATAGTAGTATAGATTTACCTTCCTCTGAAAATTACTCAAAACACAGCCATCAACATCTAAACAGCTGGCAACATAAGTGAGTACACCCCACAGTGAACATGTCCAAATTGTGCCTAAAGTGTCAATATTTTGTGTGCCAACCATTATTATCTAGCACTGCCTTAACCCTTTTGGGCATGGAATTCACCAGAGCTCACAGGTTGCTTCAGGAATCCTCTCCCACTCCTCCATGATGACATCATGGAGCAGATGGATGTGAAGACACCTTGCGCTCCTCCACCTTCAGCTTGAGGATGCCCCACAGGTGCACAGGTGAGTTTAGGGCTGGATACATACTTGGCCAGTCCATCACCTTCACCTTCAGCTTCCTCAGCAAGGCAGTTGTCATCTACTAGGTGTGTTTTGGGTCATTATCATGTTGGAAAACTGCATTGCAGCTCAGTTTCTGAAGAGGGGCGATCATGCTCTGCTTGGAATTCATGTTTCCCTAAATGAACCGAGCTCCCCAGAGCCGGCAGCACTCATGCAGCCCCAAACCATGATGCTGCCACCACTATACTTGACTGTAGGCAAGGGACAGTTGTCTTGGTGCTCTTTCAGCATGTGTGGCACCTTGGTGAAGAGCACCAAGACAACTGTCCCTTGCCTACAGTCAAGTATAGTGGTGGCAGCATCATGGTTTGGGGCTGCATGAGTGCTGCCGGCTCTGGGGAGCTCGGTTCATTTAGGGAAACATGAATTCCAAGCAGAGCATGATCGCCCCTCTTCAGAAACTGAGCTGCAATGCAGTTTTCCAACATGATAATGACCCAAAACACACCTAGTAGATGACAACTGCCTTGCTGAGGAAGCTGAAGGTGAAGGTGATGGACTGGCCAAGTATGTATCCAGCCCTAAACTCACCTGTGCACCTGTGGGGCATCCTCAAGCTGAAGGTGGAGGAGCGCAAGGTGTCTTCACATCCATCTGCTCCATGATGTCATCATGGAGGAGTGGGAGAGGATTCCTGAAGCAACCTGTGAGCTCTGGTGAATTCCATGCCCAAAAGGGTTAAGGCAGTGCTAGATAATAATGGTTGGCACACAAAATATTGACACTTTAGGCACAATTTGGACATGTTCACTGTGGGGTGTACTCACTTATGTTGCCAACTGTTTAGATGTTGATGGCTGTGTTTTGAGTAATTTTCAGAGGAAGGTAAATCTATACTACTATACAAGCTGTACACTGACTACTTTAAGTTATATCAAAGTGTCATTTCTATAGTGTTGTCCCATGAAAAGATATAATGAAATATTTGCAAAAATGGGAGGGGTGTACTCATTTATGTGAGATACTGTATAATTTGGCTCCATTACAACTCACAACATTCACCAACAAAACAACTGTCCTGTACTAAACACGTTTTCCACACAAATACAACATGCTAACGTTATTAGCGGCAGCCTATGTAATTTTACATTGTATACATTAGCCTAGCAACGAGTCGAGATTTCCTCTTCTCATATGAAACCTGGATAAATCTTTAAATATAAATCCCTGAAGGATAAATCAAACACACGACTTAAAATGCTATTTTAGTGGAGGCTTTACTGTCTTCACAATTTATTGTTGTGAAATAAAAGTCAATAATAGCTTTGTTTCCACTGTGGGAAAAGGTGTTGGTACACAAAAACAAACAGGAGGTCTGCGTCACTGCGAGGCGTAGTTACATTTCTGGGGAGGTGCATGTCAGGCATGGAACTGTGTTTTGAAATGCACTTTATAAATAAATGTTATTATTATTATTATTATTATTATTATTATAGTCATTTATTAATTGTTTAGAAATGCTAAATTTGGGGATTAAAAAAGTTAAGTGTTAGGGGTAGCCCTGCAAAACTACAGAAATATTGCTTATTATGGTGCTTGCACATAAAAAAAAAACTTTGAAATGAACAGTGAACTGATAATAATGAATATTTAGCATAAAAGTCAATCACAATTTTGTTCTTCGGGAACATGTCCTTACCTCAGTTAAATGTTTTTGTAACTTAAATGATCAGTATATGAAGGAACAGTAAGATTTCCCAATGGTACATGGGGAAAAAAATGACATACAGCAAAGAAATACAAGAATTAGGGCAAGAAAAACAAATAAAAACAAACCTTGCTCCACTGCCAGCTGGACTCTCCCCTCACAGATCCTCACTAGACCTTGATGCAGGGACAGACTGGAGGAAACCACCTCTGATGGAGGGACGTGGTCTGAAGGGGAGAAAGAAAAATCATAATGGCGCACTTGGGCACACAGAGAGCTTGATGGCTGTATGAAGGTGAGCACTTTAGCGCTGGGCTCGTGCTGTACCAGGCCAGTGGAGGAAGGCGCCGTACTGCCGGGAAAGGTCGCGCAGCCACACGGCCTGTGCAGTCAGCTCGTCCAGTGCCATCCCCTGTTTCTGCCCCTCTGCCTGGTTCTGGAGCAGCAGGGAGGCCAGAAGGACCCACGGCTTCAGGACCATGTTCTCCTCCTGGGCCCGCACCAGCTTGTAGGCCGAGTCATTCACAAAGCTGTGGACGTCCTGGTCGGGCCTCCTGGGGATATGTCTGCAAATGGAGAACTCACATTTATGATTTTTAAATTTTTAATTCCAATTTACTGTCAATTTTCAAGAGTGAAAATTTATTTTTTTCACTCCAACATGTACAAAACAGAGATAATGCAAGCATGAGATAGCTTAACGTACTTTCATACTACATGCATAATTTAATGTTGAAGTATCGCACCTTGGTACCAGGTTGAACTGGCAGCGGTTAACTTTGCCCTGGGCTAAACTTCTGACAGACACAGGCTGACCAAAGTACACATGGATGCTGCCGTAGTCTTCACTGAGGACCTTTCTGGCTTTAATCAGACCCTGCAAAAGGAAGGATGCACAAGAGAAGCAAAGGTCGTGAGATGTCACTCAGCATGTGTACGGGGTTTTTTCAGGCTGCAAAAACTATGACAGATACAGGTGTTGCAGGTCAAACAGGTCAGATGTTGAAATGACTCACTGAGGTGGACTCCTTGGGTTTGGGGATACCCAGCAGTTCTCTGGCGTAAAGCGTCTCCTCCAAGATCCTCTCGTAGCTGATGCTGACTGGGACCACGTTGACATCAAACACTTCGCCTTTGAGAAATGGATCCATAACTATATTCAAAAGACCTGGAAGAGGACGGGAAGGAAAAACTTTGTTGAATAAAATCAGTGACATCAGTGACAAAAGTTGCATGACAGAAAACTGAACAAATATTTGCAGAATCAGGTCGAAATATTCTTTGATGTTTTTTCTTTGCTAAATAGTAATAATGCAGGATTCACTTATTGCAGGATATTTTCACTTTTTTTCACATATATATTAGGATTGCAGCAATGTACTGGTTTCACTTTGATCATACTGTGAACATCTGCTTATCTATAGTATGAAAAATGCAACTGGTAGGAGAATCAGGTTGTGGTTTCAAGGCTGAATTATAATGCAACACTTGATCAATCAAAGAAATCCTATGTTTTCGTTTCTTTAAGGGTCAATTCAACTGATAATAATTGTGTAATAACGTGTACCTTAAAATGGTGATATTCTCCTAAGAAGGTTAGTGTATTGTGAAAATCTCACACCATTGTAGCCCTAATACACGTTTCAACAGTAAAATGTGCTTTTTGCTTTTTTTTTTGTAACTTACCTAACTTTGGAGTCAAAGACTTGGCCGTCCGGCTTCTTGTCCCCTCTAGGAAAAACTCTACTGGTGCGAATCCATTCTGGAGTGAAAGACAAAGATTGTGTACGTTTTCAGACTAATGCTGGTTGCCTGTAAAACAGCTCCAACAAAAAAATAGTTAAATCAAGAACCTTCCACTTTAACTGACTGGTTTAATGTGATCCATGAAATTTATACTATGGAAAAATGAACCTTTGAACTGAGACTTAAGACCGCTTTATTTTGAGAAACGTTGAAAGGATGGATTGAATTTGTTAAGCCATGTAGAACAGACTTCAAATAAAAGTTGTATAGTGACTTAGTGCTGGCCAATGTATCGAATGAAACGGTGTCATTTCCTGAATGATGTGTACTGTCATACTGTAAGCCCCTTGTGGGGATGCATTCAATGGGC